GGAATTGAATCAAATACAGAAGAGTAGCCCATAAAATCACACCAAACAATCTTAACAGAGCTGAGTGATAAAATGAATGAGGGTGGAGACTGCGTCCAAAGTGGATTTATTAGGCTTGTAAGCAAACTGTAACGGACCACTGGGAATGTTTAAATACTGCTGAAGGCGTTTGAGGATGGCCTTTCCAGTCAATTTAAGAGCTCAAAATGGTAATGCTATTGGGCGAAAACGTTTTGAAAAAATAAAATATTTGGATGCTTTGGGGAATGTTACGATTGGGACCGGCCTCCAACAGTCGGGTATATTAGAAGAATTAAGAGGTTCATTGGCAATGGAGGTTATTGCCCTAGCTATGGAAACAGCACCAAATTTGAAGAGGGCTGAATGTAAGGCATTTGGGCCTGCAGCAGAAGTCGAGTTGCAGCTTTTTACAAGTTTTAAGACATCATAATATGATAATTATTCCACGTTACAAACATTTTGTGACGAGTAGGCAGGAATGTACGATAACTGGAATGCGGCTTTTAGATCGTCAGCGTCCACATCCTCTATTTTCCTTGCACAGAGAAGTCTGATAACTTGCCACAGGTGCTTGCTGTTACCAGTCCTTAGAATTCGGTCCGAGAATAACGGGTTCCATCTATATACCTCAGCTTTGATAAGCCTGGATAAATATCTGACGGTTGAAGCATTGTGAGACATGCACACACGTTCCTTTTGTCGTCTCAGCGACTTTAGTAGGGGAGAGTTTATCCTTTCGTTGGACCCATAAAGGACTTGAACAGGGTAGCAGTAATTATACATTGCACTGATTGTTTGGGTGTTAAGGCAACATATAAGTAGAGAAGAAGGAGATGATGAAAACCATAACAGATCTGTCTGAGAGGTTCATTCAGGTGAGAAACACGTGTAGGTGAGAAGTTACGAGAACAAAATCTGATGTGCTCAGAACGATAGAAAGATTTGTATCCACTGTGCGAATAAACTTTAGGTTGAACTAAGAGTAAGCAATGATCACTGGAAGAAATAGGAGCCTTTAGTGCTAAGGAAAAAAGG